TTTGCATCACACTATCAATTGGCCACCTGGTTCCAGGATTCCGAGTTGTTCCGGTGAATCTGGAATACGGTCAGTTGACCTTCAAACGGATTTTCATCGATGGAATAAGCTTTCTTGAAGAATTTCGTTGTATTTTGGTGTGTCACATGCCATGTTTTGCTTGACAATCGCAATTGGCCACCGGGTTTCAGTACCCGGATGTGGTCAAATGGCCTTGAAACCTATATGGGGTACCAAAATCGATCATGCGACACATCAAATTGCATCAGCACTCAATGACTTGAGGACCACAGTTTTGTCACATCCGGACATGTTCCAGACTTGTTCTGGAAACTCCCCAGGGAAATGGCCAGATCTTGAATAGTACCAAAAACCGTGGGAATATGTTCCGGATATCCCCTAGGGAAGTAGCTAGAACTTGAAAAGTAGCCAATCCGGTCATGCAACAACTGAAATTGCATCAGTATTCAACGATTAAATCATTGGTGGTAATCTTTAATCTTTAAAATCACATTTAGCCACATCCGGACATGTTCCCGCCCATCGGAGATGTTCCGGATGTTTTGAGGTTATGTCAAATGTGCAATTTTTCCGCAGTACTTAATTTTGGATGTCGGTTGAAAATCTAATAAATTTATATTTTTCTCTAAAATTAGAACCTATAAGAAGTCTACCACCGTTCGAAGATCATGAATCGCTCCATGAATAACCGAAATCTCGCGCAACACGAGAAAAGGGCCTATCATTGTTGATTTTCTCTTTCGCAAAAAAAACCCAACTGCAAATACATTTCCCATTGAGTGTGTTGCTTCAGGCGCAAGCTAACATCATCTTCCATCGAACTTTGCTGCGTGGTAAACCAAAGAGAAAGTCGATGAAGAGAATCGATCAACGAGGATAGGCCCTTTTCAAATGTTACGTGAGAAATACGCCCATTTTTGTGAAATTTGTTTTTCAAAGGGGTCACAATCGTTTTTCATAGTGGATGTCAAACTTCTTGATTTTCCAAGGTGGTGTAAATGACCACTCTGTGGTAGGTTCCGGATGACTCCGGGATAGCGGCCAGACCTTGAATAGTACCAAAAATTGGTCGCGCTAATCCAATAGTGGTAGCATTTAATCGGTAGTACCACATTTAGTCACATCCGGAGATGTTCCTCTCAGCTTGTTTCACAGGTTTTTGAGAATATTCTGCGAAATTTTCAGCATATTTGATGAAGGTATTCAGATATATAAATCATCCACCTTTGCCATTCATCAATAAAATATTTTTTTAACCAATTTGATCTTCAAAAATAACAAGTTGTTTCACAAGTATTTGAGTACATTTTGTAAAAATGTCAACCTATTTGATGAAGGTATTCTGATACATCATGGTATTTTTAAAGATAATAAGAAATTCCAAGAACTTTGGCAGAACTTTGCTGAACTTCGGCAGAAGTTCCCTGAACTTCGGCAGAACTTCTCTGAACTTCGGCAGGACTTCGCTGAACTTCCGCAGGACTTTCCTGAGGTTCGGCAGGCCTTCTCTGAACTACGGCAGGACTTTCCTGAAGTTCGGCAGGCCTTCCCTGAACTTCAGCATGAGTTCCCTGAACTTCATCAGGACTTCCCTGATTTCCAAGAATTGAAATGAAAGGACTTCACTGAACTTCAGCAGCCCTTCCCTGAACTTCGGCAGGACTTCGCTGAACTTCAGCAGCCCTTTCCTTGAACTTTGGCAAGAATTCCCTGAACTTCGGTAGAACTTCTCTGAACTTCGGCAGGAGATTTATTTTATATGGCTTTCTCAATCTAGGGTAATCCAAACAGTAAGTTTTTCATTTCCCTGTTTGGATTACCCTAGAATGAGAAAGCCATATAAAAGAAGTCCCAATACGTACCAGTCGAAAAATCTAATAAATCACTTCGACAGGATTTCCCTGAACATTGGTAGGACTTCCCTGAAGTTCGGCAAAACTTCCCTGAACGTCGGCAGAACTTCGACTGAACTTCTCTAAATTTTCGCAAAACTTCCCTGAACTTCAGCAGGACTTCCCTGAACTTCGGAAGGACTTTCATGAACTTCGGAAGGACTTTCATGAACTTCGGCAGGACTTTCGGCATGGCTTCCCTGATCTTCATCAGGACTTCGCTGAAGTTCGGCAGGCCTTCCTTGAACTACGGAAAGACTTCTCTGAGCATTAGTAGGACTACCCTGAACTTTGAATCTTGGACTTGAAGTTGTCATTTCAGTAGTAGAATTATTATAATTATACAATAATATTGTGTTTACGAATATGTTCAAAATTTCAATACTTCCCATTTTTCTAATTTGCAATGCTTGGTTGGTATTGGTGCATTTCGAATTTGGGTGTGGTTTGAACGGGTGTGGATTCAGTATCAACGGAAAAGCATTAACTTTAACCTTAAGGGATCTCTAGCTAATTTAAAGGCAATTCAGACAGCGTCACAGAAAACCTGAAAACTTGAGGAAAATTGTGGGAACATAAAAAAAAGGTAGTTTTAAGAACTAAAGGAAGCCCAGTCTTTTGGGGTGGTTTAAAGGTCTGTGGATGAGTTAAGAATTTTAGAAAGCTTCAGAAATATATCAGGAATTTAACAGAAGATCAGCGAAGATTTTTTAGACAGTCTTGGTAGGAGAATTGCGAGAACTTCAGGACATTTGATTTGATATCTCGCATAAGGTTTTTGGCGTAGGAAGAATCTTGGCCAATTAAAACAACCTTGTCGGGATAGAACAGTGGTTGTGGGTTTGGCTTATCAAGGTTAGGACTCGGATTCAGCAAAAAGCGATTGCTAACAAATCGAATTGATTCGATTGTATGCCTCAATCTCATCCCTGTAAGTGAATTGATTTTTCATGAGCTTTTTTCTAAAAATTTCAAATTTCTAATTTCAAAAATTGGACATGGGCATTTAGAGAAATTTAAACATTTTTAAAAGTTTCGGTCAAAATCACTAGAATTTTTTTTCCGTTTATATTTTTCCTAGAATGACTTTGATTTCCCCTACAACTTAGTCTCAGACGTCATTTCGATCAGAACTGACGTTTTTGTGTTACAATTTATTGAAATATGTCTAGGACGCCATTTTGAAAAAAGTACCAGTTCCAAAATGAACGAATTTCTGCAAGAATGTGAATGATTACCCATAACAAACAATGTTTCATGAAAATCGAAGAAGGTCCAATCAAAAATTCATTGAATTTATGCTATTTGGCCTAGAACTGCTCCTTTGTTAGAACTCAATATACCATAATAACAAGTAGTTTGGATTGTCCCACCGACCGAATTCGAATGAAAAATGTCCTTTGTTTCAATGCTTTAACGATTTCTAAAGAATAGTCCTTCGTTACTGCTACGTATATCCAGTGCCTTGAAGCCAGTTTCACAATCCTGGTCGGTTAAATCCTGCTAAAGTTCATCCCCATCGATTCCCATTGACATCGTTGCCCTCATCTCCGACCAACGACTGGAAACTGGAATCGATAGCCGTTCGTTCGAAAACCCTTGAGCAAAACTGTTACACAACGCTACCGTCGTCGTCCTAGCTAATTGATTACTTTCTTCGGCTGTCTGTTTTCCCGCCGTGTCCCTCCCATTTTTGCCCCGCTTCCCCCGTGACCCTAGACAGTTTGAATGTGCACTTCAAGTGAACCGATTCAGAAATGTAACACCAAATTGGACCCCCTCCCCCAATCCCAATGCTGCCTATTAATGAACAAAGAACCCGTTCACTTTGCTGTTACGCGATTTGTGCCGGTAATGATGATGATTGCTACATCATGGGTCATTTACAATGCGTGTAATCACCGATTATGTGGATGCAACCGGCAACGGCGACGCGCATTATGAAAGGGAAATTAATTTGATGGCATCGATGGCGCAAGGAACAACAGAATGTGGGTCTCACCTAACTCATTTTTGCTTCATATGTCTGGTGGGATGATACCTAGAAGGCGTTGCGATTGGTTGGCTGTTGAAAGCGATGATATAGGAACAGTTTTGGACTACTTAAGTGGTACATTTAGTCGCTGGAAGTCGATTGGATTTTGAGGGTAATGAGATGGTTGTGGCTGAAAGTTCACTAAACTCCGGCTGGTCGTTGTCATTATGGCAAAAGGTCGTTCAAATGGCGTTCTGATAAAAATTTGAGAATATTCCGCTGAAACCGGGGAGTTTCCGTAGTTAGCATAACTCGTAAAACTTTGATAAAAGTGTCCAAATAATAAGATATTCAAATTTTCTCAACAATCTCCGATTGGGCCACCCAATCGGAACGGATTGACATCACTTAAGTACGGTGCCAACTGTGATGGACGCTGATTTGGACAAATTTTCCGTGCCATGAGCATTTCCGCTGTCACAATTTTTCCAATCAAGTTAATAAAATCGCTTTGATCTAGCCGAAAAAAAATCCTCACCAAGCGAAATAACGCAAATCGCACCGCCGCTCCACCAAACAGGCTTAATCTTTAATTTTTTATAGCTCCATTCACTGCTCGCCAAATTGACCAATTAAAACAATTAAAGGCAATTAAAAATTGATCATTTATAATTTCTCCTCCGTCGAATCGAATCAAGTGTCGAGTCGAGTTGGCTACTACCGGAGTCGTAAAATTAAATGTATATACGAATTATAATTTGTAGCGAAAACAAAATATAAATCCCCCTCTCCATCCTTCCACGATCCGACACGGATCGTCAACGGGAAATGTTTTCCCATGCGGAAAACCGATACTCGCTCCTCTGCCGACTGCCATAAAAAAAAATCCACTCAGCCGGGCGCGAAAAACCGGACCGATTTTCATCCCATTTATTATGCCGTTTGTTTGGTTCCATCGAATCAGTCCATCTCATCCATGCGCCGTTCGAATCGGATTATGATGAGACCCCTTCCCACTCCCATGGAAGCAAATAAAAATGTTTACATTTTTTGAATAATTCACACATTTTAATCAATTAATTCCACGTTCTTTGTCTCTCCTTCCCTTGCAGCAAAACCATCCCGAGTGGTGCACATCCGTAACATCCCGAACGAATCGAGCGAGGTGGACGTCATGCACCTGGGTGTTCCGTTCGGTCGCGTCACCAACGTCCTGGTGCTCAAGGGCAAGAACCAAGCCTTCCTGGAGATGGCCGACGAAAGCGCTGCCACCAGTATGGTGACCATGTTCACCGCTACCCCGCCGATCGTCCGCGGCCGGACAGTCTACGTGCAGTTCAGCAACCACCGGGAGCTGAAAACCGACCAGAACCACACGGCGACGGTGAGTTTTTTCTTTCTGATAGCAAAATTAGAAGACGTAACTTATAGCCCTCTCTCTCTCCCTCTCTATCTCTTCCAGAACGTAACGCTGCAAACTCAGGACCTCACTCAGTCCCCAACCGGATCGCCACTGCCACTGGCCCTCGACCATGCCAACACCAACTCGAACCCGGGCACCGGAACGACCGGTGTGACGCAGGGCGGCCCCAACACGGTCCTGCGGGTGATTGTCGAGTCGCTGCTCTACCCGGTGTCGCTGGACATCCTGTATCAGATTTTCCAACGGTTCGGCAAGGTGCTCAAGATTGTCACCTTCACCAAGAACAACTCGTTCCAGGTGAGTTTGATTGCATTGGATCTCGACGGTTGCGCGCTCTTATGGTGCTAATTCAACGCCTCAAATGGTCATTACAAAGCTAAAACAAGCTTGAATTCGAGATGCGGGAAATCTAAAAAAACACACGAAATTAAACCTCTCTGATTTTTTGATATTTGCGAGAAGGGGGAACTTACGTATTCTCGTCAGGGTAAGCAGCGTCCACGCTTCTGAGTAGCATTTTTTCAGCGTCGCGCACACATATGACGCGTTTGTTTGTTTACATTTGCTTGCTGCTTACTGCTCTATCCATTCCAATTGACAGATTTGTCAAAAACTGTTTTTACAACACTCCAAACTTCTCAGCTGAGTGTCAATATTGTCGGAAACTCGAATACATGGTCGATGAGAGTACCTCAGTAACTAAGTCGAATTCATCTCAAAATTGAAAAAAAAGTGGGCAGATACTAAATCACAAAGTCCGTCACTTCTCCGGGAAAAACTAGTCCAGTTAAATATCTCACGATTCCACTTAAATTGCAGAAGTTTTCCCTGGAGAAAATCATGGAAAATTTTACTCATTCAATGAGTAACCCCACTTTTTGCAATTTGGTAATAAACGGCTATTTGTGGCTTAAGCAGCTTGGTTGAAGGTGGTAAATATAATTCTAAGCAGCCTCATTTTTGAGTCGTTATAAGAACTTGAAAGTTCCGGTACCATAATTGAAGAGCATTCTAAGCAGCTTCTGGCGGAATTTGAACGGAACTTTTAGAAAATAAATTAAAAAAGATTTTTGTCCTTTACAACAATTTTATATTTAGTTCGCGCCCCAGAACGAACCGCTACGCCATCTGAGAAATATTAAAGTGAGCTGTTGTCTCACCTACTGTTAGAGTTTTCAGTGCCAGCTGACTGACTTGAATACGAAACACAACACCTTGATGAATTTTACATTGGTGTTTAATTTTTGTTCCTAAAAAATACTTGTGCGGATTGCTTCATGTGGACCTTTTTAGCTACTTTCAAGTTGCTACGAAGGGAACTTTTAAGATACTTTAAAGTTGCTAAGAAGTTCCGCAGGGAACTTTTAAGGTGCTTTAAAGTTGCTAAGAAGTTCCATTGGGAACTTGTTCAGAACTTTGTTCAGCTTTGGGATGCTTTGTGGATTTTTTTTGAGCTTCAAGAGCCTGAAGTTCTTCGTGTGCTTTCTATAGCTTCTAAAGTAGCCAGAAAGTTGTGTTGATACTTTATATGCACTTTATGGAACTTGAAAGTGGGTTCTATCGTTGAGTACGGAACTTTTGGTTGCTTGGGAAGAAAGTACTGTCAGAACTTTATTCGAACTTTATGGAACTTGAAGGTTCTGTCGGAACTTTATTTGAACTTTATGGAACTTGGAAGTGAATTTTATCGTTGAATGCGGAACTTTTGGTTACTTGGGCGTTTACCGAAAACTGTAACCGTCTTTGTGACCAGGATCACCACCAACCAACAATTCTTGACTAACTAAATACATTTTCCAAAGACTGTAACCATCTAAAGGGTTTTCCTTTAAGCGTTTCCTATCTTTAAAGTTGAATAAAACAAACTGTGTGTGAGATATTGACGAGATTTATTTTTCGATTGAAAGGCCTATCAATACCATTATACATGGAATATGACATCGTTAAAATGGCCGCCTCGGCTTCGTTTGGTGGCGTGCATCAGAGAGGTCCAATTTTCCATGACTCTGGCGCACAAATCGGGCTGAATCTCGTTGATGGCTTGAGTAATGTTGACTTTGAAGGCATCGGTGGTTTGCGGATTATTGGCATAGACCTGCGACTTAACATAGCCTCACAAGAAAAAGCCTAGTGGGGTTAAATCACACGATCTTGGTGGCCAGTTGACATCGCCTCCGCGCGAAATAACCATGCCCTTAAATCGCTCATGCAGAATATCGATTGTTTCGTGCGCTGTGTGGCACGTTGCACCAACCTGTTGGAACCAGAAGTCGGTAATCATCGACCTGTAGCGCTCCACGTCAAACAGTGACTTTCTGGTGTTGCATTGCCACTTGGTGGACCTCGTGTGGATTGGCCTTGTCCCAAATTCGACAATTCTGCTTGTTCACATACCCGTTCATCCAGAAATGGGCCTCGTCTCTGAAGAAGGGGGGTCTGTTTCCAAAATCGGGGTCCGTTTCCAACTGCTCCAAAACCCAATCAGCAAACACACACCGCTGTTTATGATCGTTAAGCTTGAGTTCCTGGGTCAATTGGATCTTGTATGGGAGCAGACCAAGTCTCAACGCAGAATTCGCCAAGTTGAAGCCTGCGAGAGGCCCAGTTCTTGTGCGCGGAGCGGAATCGACTGCCGCGGGTTCTCCTGCACACTTTCGCGTACAGCGGAGATATTCTCGGCAGACCTTGCGTTCCGTTGACGTACGGGTGATAGTTGAGCGTTCACCAAACCAGTTTCCTCGAATTTGTTCACCACATTGCGAATAGTCCTCTCGGCAGGACGATTATTACGACCGTAAAATGGGCGGATCGCTCGGAACGTTGCTCGCAAAGAACACTTACTTTGATAAAACATTGTTTTTTTTTCATTTGCACGTGTTGTTGAACGCTATAACGCACATGGTAATTTGACAAGATACACTGAATAAATGACAGCTAATTTGACACTAATTTGGCCTTGATCCCAATATAAAGCATATTCAAGAGATTCACTTCTGAACTTTTGTCCACCAAACAAAAATCCTTGACCTACTGAACACATTTGTCGAAGACTGTAACCTTCTATTTGGCCAGGATCCCAAGATATAGCACATTCAGGAAATTCACTTGCACACTAGCGCCGCATAGCGAGCAAATTCTGAACTTTTGTCCACAAACCTAAAATTTTTGACGAACTGAACAAATTTGCCGAATCTGTCACCTTCTATATGCCCTGGATCCTAAGATATAGCATATTCAAGAGATTCACGTGCACACCAGTGCCGCGTAGTGAGCTAATTCTAAACTTTGGTCCACCATCCAAAAGTTCTTGACCTACTGAACACATTTGTCGAAAACTGTAACCTTCTATATGGCCTGGATCCCAAGATATTGCACATTCAGGAGATTCACTTACACACTAGCGCCGCATAGCGAGCAAATTATTAACTTCTATGCACCTTCCGAAAGTCCTTGACCCACTGAACAAATTTGCCGAAGACTGTAACCTTCTATATGGCAAACATCCCAAGATATAGCATATTCAGGAGATTCACGTGCACCTCAGTGCCACGTAGTGAGCGAATTCTGAACTTTTGTGAACCAACCAAAAGTTCTTGACCTACTGAACACATTTGTCGAAAACTGTAACCTTCTATATGGCCTGGATCCCAAGATATAGCACATTCAGGAGATTCACTTGCACACTAGCGCCGCATAGCGAGCAAATTATTAACTTCTGTGCACCTACCAAAAGTCCTTGACCCACTGAACAAATTTGCCGAAAACTGTAACCTACTATATGGCAAACATCCCAAGATATAGCACATTCAGGAGATTCACTTGCACACCAGTGCCACGTAGTGAGCAAATTCTGAACTTTTGTCCACCATCCAAAAGTTCTTGACCTACTGAACACATTTGTCGAAAACTGTAACTTTCTATATGGCCTTGTTCCCAAGATATAGCACATTCAGGAGATTCACTTGCACTAGCGCCGCGTAGCGAGCAAATTACTTCTGTGCACCTACCGAAATTCCTTGACCCACTGAACAAATTTGCCGAAGACTGTAACCTTCTATATGGCAAACATCCCAAGATATAGCACATTCAGGAGATTCACGTGCACACCAGTGCCGCGTAGTGAGCGAATGCTGAACTTTTATCCACCATCCAAAAGTTCTTGACCTACTGAACACATTTGTCGAAAACTGTAACCTTCTATATGGCCAGGATCCCAAGATATAGCACATTCAGGAGATTCACTTGCACACTAGCGCCGCATAGCGAGCAAATTATTAACTTCTATGCACCTACCGATAGTCCTTGACCCACTGAACAAATTTGCCGAAAACTGTTACCTTCTATATGCCCTGGATCCCAAGATATAGCACATTCAGGAGATTCACGTGCACCCCAGCGCCGCGTAGTGAGCGAATTCTGAACTTTTGGCCACCATCCAAAAGTTCTTGACCTACTGAACACATTTGTCGAAAACTGTAACCATCTATATGGCCCGGATCCCAAGATATAGCACATTTAAGAGATTCACTTGCACACTAGCGCCGCATAACGAGCAAATTATTAACTTCTGTGCACCTACCGAAATTCCTTGACCCACTGAACAAATTTGCCGAAGACTGTAGACTGACCAAATTCAAGAAATTCATTTGCACGCCAGTGCCACAAATTTGGCACAGTTGGTGATCTCAATTCGAATCAAAAGAGCTGCAGTAGGGGAGTAAGGGGTTGCTAAGTAGACCCACTCTAATGAGGAATCTAGATACATTTATGTAACCCAAGAAAATTCTTTGAATGCGATAGTTTTCAAGACTAACACCTACCTTTCCTCTCGCTTAATTCCAGGCCCTGATCCAGTACCCGGACGCGGCCACGGCCCAGCACGCCAAGCAAACCCTGGACGGTCAGAACATCTACAACGGCTGCTGTACGCTCCGCATCGACAACAGCAAGCTGACGTCCCTGAACGTCAAGTACAACAACGACAAATCGCGGGACTACACCAACCCGACGCTGCCGTCGGGCGAGCCGGGAAGCGACGTCATTGCCAGTGCCGGTGGCCTAGTGTCGGCCGGTGACCTGCTGCTGCTGGCGGCCGGCCAGCGGCCGCAGCTAACGCGGGACCGACTAGGTGAGTTCATCGAATGCTGTTCCAAGCTATCCGTGCTCGATGTTGTCTAGATGTTGTCGAACGCCGGGGCAATTACCGTGTAATAGTCAAATTAGACAAATCTCCCTATTTTCTAGTGAACGGCTTAGCAACCCCCGGTGTCATTCCACCCTTCGGTCTAGGTCTCGGATCGCCGGCCCTCGCTAGCGCGTACGGCGGTGCCCTACCCAACCTCGGCGCGTTTGCCCTCGCATCGAACGGTGGCCTCGGACAGCCGAACCCGGCCGTCCTGCGGGGACTGTCCAACGTGCTGCTCGTGTCCAATCTCAACGAGGAGGTAATTATGCATGGTTCCAATACCTATCTAGTACTCTAGCTCTATCTCTAACTCTCTTTTTGACTCATTCTAGTACCTACTACTACTACTACTACTACTATTACTACTCACTGATCTACTGCTACTACCGATCTTTTACAGCTCGTGTCTGTCTTTGTCTGACATCTCTACTACAACTGACAGTTGCCTTAGGTTTTTCAGTTTTTGTTTTTACCTGCATCAATTCGTTTGTGTACTTTCAGTTGTTTTCTTTAATTCATTTGAGTTGTGTCTCTCTGTCTCTATTTCTCTGCCACTTTCTCCATCTCTCTCTCCCCGTTGCCATCTCCTCCGGTTATAACACATTCTAGATTAATCCCTTTGCTTCCGTGCGTGTCTTCCGTTGACCAGCGAACGGTTGCCTGCCTTGTGTTTGCTGACGTTCTCGTTCTCCTTCTCCTGTTCTGTTGTTGTTGCTGGCTCGATTCGCTGCTTTGTTCCTCCCTACTTACTTATTTAGTCCATTCTGCTGCTACTACATCGTAACGCTTCTTTCTTCTTTTTTTGGCCCAGCTTCCGGAGGAAATTCCCCAGCCGAGTGGGGATGCCACCGGAACACAGCTCTAAAAAAAGGGCTGCGCTGCATATTTGTGTTACACGTCTATCTCTATCTCTATCTCTCTCTCCATCCTACATCCGAGTCTGCTCCGAGTGGTGTGTCATCAGATCTCTGTCCGGTGCTCTAAAGTTACAGCTTTTTCCAACTAAAAAAAAACTATCCCATTCCGGTATATTTTTTCAACGCAAAAGTTCTGTGTCGCCGGTCTCTCATTTCACCTGTCTCCTCTGTGGAGCGCGCGTGTGTGTGTGTGTGTACCACCCAACCCCGGAGCAACAGAGGACAGATGATAGCTAGCAATTTGCTTTCTTGTTGTCCGGGTCCCTTAATTTTCCGCCAGGGAATTCTCCTTCTGCTCAAACCTGCCCTTTTTTCGTTTTGTGTTTTTTTTTTTGTTCATCTGCAACTGCTGCCGCCCCGTCGCCCAGCCCACGGTTGACGGCGAGTCGAGTTTTCCCTCTTAATTACTAACTGCCACACAGCTTGAATTTAAAAAAAAAAAAGGACATCAACGACGACGATGGAGGAATATTGTTTGATGTCACTTGCCGGCGAAGACGGTTGGAAAAATTTGCGTCAAATTTGTAGAAGAAAAAAAATGGACCAGTTCAGTTGGAATTTGTCGACCGAGGTTCGGAGGTGGTAGCTGGAAATGATTGTAAGATGTAACGTAAGATGACATTGAAAATTACTGGTTCGTAAATTATGGTCCACGAGGTTGAAATTACTACAGGGAGGGAGCGTTTGAAATGGATCAAAACTGACGAAACCTATGGCCGTTACGCAAAGTCTAGTGCAATATTCGATCGTACGAATTACCATTAAATTATTGAAGCCATGCACATAACATATGTGGAACTTCATTCAAAAAGTTGACCCCTTTTTTGTGTTGCCTCAGTGGTATAACTGGCATAGTTGGACATCGAGCTGTCAAAACAAAATTTTCGTGATATCGACACTGAGCGTTCATAAGGACCAATGTCGAAAACATAAATAATGGCTTATTTCGTAAATTTCTCGTATGTCAAAATCAATACATGTAAGCCAGCAATTTTATCGGATAGAAGGACTCTTTCTCTACACAGTCATCGTGGTGGTTTACTTGAGTGAGTTTTTATTTTCGAGAAATTCACGCAAAAGTGATTGTTCATGTTTGCGGCATTGGTCCTTACGAAAGAAAAGCATATATACGGGTTGTATGCTCAGTAAGCGTTGACGTTGCCGGTGACTCAGCAACTCTTTACTCCTGGTAAAATTCCATAAGCATCTGACAATCTGTGCATGGAATCTACACACTTAGAAAAAAATAATGTAAATTTAGGTGCTCTGAGACTGACATATTGGAGCGTCAATTTTGACATAAAATTGAGTCAGAGTACACGCGAAATTCTGCTCAATTAAACGTACTTTCGAACTTTTCAGTCTCGAAGCACTTAATTTTACATGACATCTTTGTTTACGTCTCATCCTTTATGTCAAAAATGGAGGATCCGTCACGTGTAAGATTAGGTATTTCTAAGTGTGTAGCGGACTTTGTCAGCATGGTACCAGCCAGCCGCCGTCTTTTCACGCAAAGATTAACAGAATCTTATGGAATTTTCATAGGAGTGAAAGGGTAAGGAAATGTTCACCATGTTTCACGCACAGACTGATGTTCGCTTATGGGATTTTATCATAGGAGTAAAGAGTGACAGAGTGGCCGATATAAAGGCGAATTGTCAATAGAGGTTTTCACGTCTGGTTGTATTGGTAGTATATATGAGAGCGTGTTAGTGAATATCCGAGGAAAATACATAACAAATCGATGTCAAACTCATTTTGACAGATCTACTTTCATACATTTTTTAGGTTAGCCAGAGGAAAATAATAAACAACTTTACACGGCGTTTCTCCCGCTAGTGTGCATGCGTTAAACGTCACTAATCTCTATAATCAAGATAATGCACAATAATGATGCAAAAATAAATGTTACATTCTTTCGAAGAGATTTCAGTTTCTAAAAGATAACACACGATTTTTTTAAAGATTTATGCCATTCTCCATTTTGACGTCAATGGCTGCTTGAAATCACAAACGAATGAAATTTCAAATCCTACTATCAATACAAGCTGATATTTGTACACACTTAAAACAAAAATACTTGAACATATACCCATTTTACCCATTGAGAATTGCATATTTGTGAAATCGGTGACAGTTATTCTGAATCACCCTGTAGTTCAGTCCAATAAGATATTTTTGAGTAAATTGTATGTTCTCAAATCTGCGTGAATTAAACTTAATTTTGGGTAGAATATACATACTTAAGAGTAAGTTTTTTTTTGCTGGTGTTAAATGGAAACTACTATATGCGATTTCAGTGCGCAAAACAGTCAGGTTCATTGAGTCATTTTGATAGGAATATGAACTGCCATTTGCCTCATCATTGACTGCCTCGTGAGAGTCTGAATGATTGAGAGGTAAACGAGTCACTGACAGCCGAGCACTCAGTCAGTAGCTCAGTCAACCCAGGCTTGGGAATTGTCAACCTCATGACGATAAACTATGTAACAACGACAACAAAAAAAAGTCAACGCTCATCTGACAAGCACGATGCAACACAATTCTGCTTGAAAGACTGATCTTCTGGGCTGTCTCTCGACGAAACATTTTCTATTCTTGTCTTTCCCTCATTTGGTCACGAAACATCTGTTGCGTGACGTTTTCCAGAATGACTAAGTTGTTTCACGTACGTCGGACGACAAGATTGACGGAAACTGAAGACATGGTTATTGACGAAAAAAGTCTGTCATGTCATTCTTCCATTCTGTCGCGACAAAACTGCCGCTGGTCCTTTTCTAATAAACGGATGTCGCTTTGGATGCGAGACATAACAAGATAGAAATAACTGGAATTGTGTTGTTTTGACGTGATTTCACCTCTGATTCGAAGTAGCTTGAATCTTGGCGCTGAACTTCGTGTTTGCAGTGATGGGTATTTCTGGAACGGACACAACTGAAAGCTGCTGAAAATCGATGTTTGGAATCCAAGATGGCGGCTACCGGTTGTAAAAAAAGTGGGAAATACTCCCAAATACTCTTCAATATGTATATTTTCGGAATCGGGATGATGTCTAGAGACCGAAAATCGATGTCCAGCGCCATCTGGAAATCAAAGATGGCGGCTGCTGATTTCAGAAAAAGTGGGATATACTACCAAATACCCTTCAATGTGTATATTTTTGGAATCGGGATGACCTCTAGAGACCAAATATCGATATCCAGCGCCATCTTGAAATCCAAGATGGCGGCTTCCAATTCCAGAAAAAGTGGAAAATACTGCCAAATACACTTCAATATGTATATTTTCGGATACGGGATGACGTCTCGAGACCGAAAGTCGATGTCCAGTGCCATCTTTAATTTCAAGGTCGCGCTGGAAATCGATTTTTGGCCATCTTGAAATAAAAGATGGCAGCTTCCGATATCAGAAAAAGTGGAAAAAAAAACTTCCAAATACCCTTCGGCCTTCAATCTGGGTATTTTTGGAATAGGGATGACGTCTAAAACCCGTTAATCGATTTCCGACGCCATTTTGAAATCCAAGATGGCGGCTTCTAATATCAGAAAAAGTGGGAAATACGGCCAAATACCCATCAATATGTATATATTCGGAATCGGTATGACGTCTAGAGACCAAAAATCGATATCCAGCGCCATCTTGAAATCCAAGATGGCGGCTTCCAATTTCAGAAAAAGTTGGAAATACTACCAAATACCCTTCCATATGTATATTTTTGGAATCGTGATGACGTCCTGAGACCGAAAATCGATTTCCAGCGCCATATTGAAATCAAAGATGGTGGCTGCCGATTTCAGAAAAAGTGGGAAAAACTGTAAAATACTTTACAGTATGGATATTTTCGGCTCAAAGACGACGTGCAGATGCCGAAAATTGGAATGCCGAAATGGCGTCAGCCATGAATTTTCCGTCTAGTGAAGGGTATTTGACAGTCGGACATCGATCTTGAGCCTCTCCATATCGTTCCCACTCAAAATATACCCATATTATGGGGGTATTTAACATTACTATCCAGTTTATCTGCAACCAGAAGCTGCCATCTTGGAATTCAATATGGCATCGGACAGTAATTGACAATCCGTAGTTACCACCGCGAATCCGAAAAACCCACATGCATGTGTATTTGACAGTATTTCCAACTTTTCCTGTATCCTGTAGCTGCTATTTTGGATTTCAGGTCACTCATTTTTTATTTCTAGATGTTATTATCTAGACGTCATTCCTTTTCCAAAAATACTCATATTGAAGATTATTTGACTGTATTTATATCTTTTTCTGAAACCGAAAGCCGCCATCCTGGATTTCAAAATGGTATCGGACATTGATATTCGGCATCTACATG